GGAGCACCTCGGGGCCGGGGCGCACGTAGGTAATCACGGCCACCCCGAGGCCGAGGGGCCGGGGAAGCGGGTGTCGTGCCCCCCACCCCGAGAAGGGGTACCCCAGGAGGAGATTTTAATATAACGTGCTTGGTTTTATCTGGCCTGTTGAAGGGGCTCGCCTCTCGGCCCGTGAGGAGAGCCGGTGGGGTTGCTGGGGAATGCCGCTTTTAGTAGGGGACAAGGTTGAGGTTGTAAATGCTGAAATCGCAGCTGGAAGACGCAAGTGTCTTCAACTTTGACTCCATCTTAGTTTTTAGTATACTGAAAACATGGATGTATTTAATTTGGCCGTCATCTTATGTTGATGCAGTAAAAATAGGTAAAATTCATAGCTCTTCTCCACAAAGCTAGATCTGTTCCAGAAATAGTTGCTATTCCTCACTTGTTTATTTGGCTTGCTTTCTTAAGGGCCGAAATAGAGGGAGTGTGGAAAAAAGAGCTCTTAAGACACTGTCAGAAAACAACTCCTGTTTTTTTAATTGCCTGTTAGTCCTTAAAACCGGTTTCAGTCTGCAGTGGCTTAGATAGCTGTACAGATTCTGGGTTTAGTCTGTTCATTCTTGATACAACTTCTGCTTTCCTTCACCAATGTTACTTTTTGGGTTTCAGTTCACAGAAATGATGTCTCTTGATATATCTGACAGTGCTCAAATCTATGCTGCATTTGTGGTATACCTGGACCTCTTAGAAGGTAATTCAATGAAGTGACTGGGTAGATATCCCAACAAATGTATTTGCCTTTAGGTGCTATTAAAGTTTGTGCACTAGCTGGACCTTTCCTACAACAGTCCTTGGCATTCTTTTTGAAACTTAATGCAGTGATGGTTACCTAAGAAACAGATGGTATTTTGGCACTGAAGATTTCTATCCTGTGCCTGCCTGGAGCCTTTATGAAGATTAAGGCCCGTTTTTTCCAGCAGTTACAGGCGTTACAGGGCAAAGACATTTGGCATGGAGAAAAAGCAAAAGAGGAGTAGAGGAAGGAAAAGGAATGTAGAAGGGTGAAGTTACAAGTTCAGTGGTTGTGCTGGTAATAGAGTCCTCATTTGTAAATGAATGTCAAAGTTACTGATTACCATTTAGCAAATGGCTGATGTATGCCAGCCTGGTTAGGATGCTGTTTTCTGGCAAGGGCAGGATTGCTGTAGGAAAGAAGATAATTTGGAGGTCTGGTGGCAATAATTACGACAAGTGCAGTGTAGTCTTCTGGTGTCTGGAGTGGAGCAGAGTTATGTGATAAATAAACTTCTGCCTGCGATTCTCCCAAGTTGGCTTTGTTGAAAAGGGGCTGCGCATAGGCAGGCAGCCAACCTAATGAAAATACTTCAGTTTCTCTTGGAGGCTGGTGGTTCTCAAGGTCAGGGAAGGAGGGGATTTTTCAGTCCTTAAAGCACTGTGTCTGTTATTGTTACACCTCTAAAGAAAATGCCGTAACAGGCTTTAAGAGAAGGCTCCTGTAGTTCTGCAACAAAAACTTTTAGCCTTATCCCTTCAAGCAGAAGGGAAGAACTGTGTATCATCAATAATCATGCTTTTAGCACCTGCTCCTTCACAGTTTAGGGGACTGATAAAGTCCAGATTTGGATTACAGTTTTATGCTGCAGATGACAAAGATGGTGTTTGTCTTCTTTTTGCCTTTTTGAAACAAAGCTTTGTCAGACAGATCCCTATTCACCATCAATCAGTGTAGCTCTGGAGTTAGCAGACTAGTACTGCTTCCGTGGGGTTTTTTTAACAGGATTGTTTCTCAGAAGGAGAACTTGACAGTTGAATAGGGTAGTTGTCTCTCATGGGAAATGTCCAGTGAGGATAGGGGGAAAACAGAACCTAAGATGTTAACTTGAATATCAAATTTGATATTTGCATGATTAAAACTTACGTTTTGTGTTCTGTTCCTCGTCATCGATGATGAACCTTTCTAGGGAGAAACTGGCATGAAGTGAAGCATGTCGGAGTAGCAGAACTGCAACTTGTATGTTTACACGCACGTGAAAGAGAACAGGACAGTCTCCAAGTGATGGTGCCGGTACCTGTGCACATATCATTAAGCCATGAGAGGTAAGGATGTGGTCAGTGTTTGGCTCGTTACCAATAAGATCAAATGAAGAATAGATATATTTAACAGGCTGCTGATGACTTGGTCAAGAGGGGAAGGGGCAGGAAACAAAGGAGTGTCAGAGGAAAGCAATATGTCAGCCTATGAGCAGAGTTATTTTGGGTGCTGCAAACATACATGTGAAGTTGAGTTTCCTTTTTTGAATTTTCTAAGCTGCATCAGTCTCTGCTCCTCCCTCCCTCAAAGTGGTATGCCTTTGATGTCAGCTTCCCACAGCAACTGACTCCTGCTGCTGATAAACACTTCGTATTGTTTAGACGTTGCATATGCTCTAGGAAATAACAATGGATATCAAAGTATGTGTTTGAGAGACAAGGTTAGAATACAAGACCTTCACAGCTTACGTTTTGAACATTCTTGCACTGCTTTTTTGTAGTCTAGGAAATCTAGCAATACTTTTTGTGTCACTGGGCTTTAAAGTACCTAAGAGGAAAGAAATCCTCTCTGACCTGTCCAAGAATAAACTTTTTTTTTAATTGTCAAATCTATGGATAAGCCTGGTGTGGTTTCGTTTGCTTTTCTTTTTGTTTTGAAAGTATAATTTGGCTACTTTCAACCAGAAATTCTTCTTACTTATCCGGAGTCTAATGTGTAACTGTCCCTTGAGCCATGATTTTTGACTTACTTTCCTTACACATGCAAGACTAATTCTCAAGTGGAGGAAAACACAGCTATGACTTTGTGATACTACAGATATTTGCAGCCTAGAGAAATTCCGCTTCAGTAATTTTACAGGATATTTTAACTGGCCCTTAGGGCATCCTCAAACACACAGTATGATTTACTCTCTGATAATGGCCGCCTTCTCTTGCTGGTGTTTGCCATTCTTTCCTGTGATGTCTCTGAAGACCTGAACTATTTCAGCTGCATCGTATGGTAGTACATTGTTCAGTTTCTTCTGTTCCTACTTTTGCTAGGAGCGTGTGCTCAGGGCTGGCTTTACAGATCTTGCTAGTGTTTGCTGTTTCCTCTTGCTCTGTTGGCAGCAGCCTGACGCAGTAGTAGGTAGCTAATGAATTGCACTTGGCAGACGTGTGTATGCATGCGCGTGCTCTAGGAATGATGTTTTAGACATGCTATGGTTTTTGCATTTTTTTAGGTTTTAGAAGTGATAGATTGGTCTCTTGCAAACAGACTTCCATCTTAATTCTGCTATGCATTTCCTTCAGAAACAATTCATTTGTGAGGGGGAAGAAAATGACTTAATAGATATTGATGGATTTGAGTGATGTCTACGTGCTGAAAAAGTTTTTCTATTTGCAAATATTGGTCAGTCACTCTGTGGGCTTGGTATTATAGGGAAATACGGTGTGATCGCCACAACAGAGGAAAGCTGCTGCGAGGTCTTGCAGAATTAAATGCTAAGTGTCATTCAACCTTTCCACAAGAAGCGGATCACTGTATGTGTGTGAAAGGGACACCTTGCTATCACAGTTCAAAGTAGATTTTAGGTGGGAAGAGAAGGCAGCAAATTAGGATATGGGATCTTTGAGAAATTATGCCTACGTGATGAGTTGTTGTGCTTGTTTAATGTAGTAGGTTTCCACCTAGGTTGGAAACTTTGATTCCTGGCATTGGATCAATGCTAGCAAGTGTGTTCTAATTGCCTTTTAATGACAGTGAGATATTGCACTGCATGTATGTCCTATCTTTTACTGTTTCATTGGGGCTTTTCATTTGGAGCCTCTGAACGTGTTTGTACTGTGGTGATACTGTTTGCTCTGCTTCTGGCACCAGTGCAGATGGAATCCATTACTGGGAGGATGTGTGTTAGAGAAGCAAAGACTGAATGCATCACATTGATTAAAAGTACAGTTTGTGACTAGGTTTTGCTACAGAGTAACTACATAGAGCATATTGTCACTAAAATGAGCTGAATACCAGGCTGTAATGCTGGGTGAGTCCATTAAAGCCCGTATGTGCTCAATACTCATAGATGTTGCCAGGCAGGAAGATCGTATATGCTTGTGTTTGTGTTATTGAACGTGCATGTGCATATGCGCACTTGGCATCTCATTAGCAGGTCACCACTGATGAGAGGGGCCTGGAGTGTCTTCATAGAGAAAGGACAGCATGAACTCCTTGGCTCCTTTGCTGGAACAGTAGGCAAAAAACAGGGGGTGTAGACAATAACTGTAGCTCAAAGTTATGTAGCATAGAGGAAGGCCATGAAAAAGGCACCTTACAGAAGGAGTTGGAAATAGTATTACATACTACTGTCTCTCTGTTCTGACAGTGATGAATATTTTGTTGTGATTGTTGATAAGCAGGAGGCTTGTTAGGTATCTGATGTCTTAAATGGTATTTGCTCACTTGACTTACCAAGCTATAGGTAGACAGGAAAGCTTTTGTATTTAGCTACTTTGCCATTTTGCTCAAAGCAATGCTTTGGGGTTTTGTGTTACTTGCTAAAGGTAGAGGAAGAGGTATGAGTACAAGTGAATGCAGCTCACTTAATGTTGAAAGTTAGCCACGGGAGGGGGTTGGGAAGGTGAATATGTTCTGTCCTCATTGCTGGGCCTGGAAATGTGCTAACTGCAAAAGCAGCTAGCAAATGGCAGCATTTATGGGCAGCATTTCCTTGCTTAACCAGTAAGGCCTGGGTAGGGGCTGCAGGGGTGGTTTTCCTCTCAAAGCCACTTCAGCCAAGCTCTGCCTTCCTGGGTGTCTCATGAAGATTCTGGCTTGGCTGACACTCGAGGAGTGTGTCCTTAAAAGGCTGTTGTAAAGTTGCTGTGGAAATTACCAGCAAGATGCCTAAGCAAATGATAAATATGAGTGCCCTACAAAAATAATAATCTGCTCAATGTTTTTTAGCCTATTACAAGATTTCATCACATCCAGTTTATGTGTGACAATTAACTGCTTAAGGCAAAAGCTGTTCTGCTTACTAAGCTCACTGTCCACTTCTACAAACAGCTTGATGGAAGCTGATCATCCTGCCCTGCCAGTGTAAGACTGCACAGTAGCTCACTGAATTGCAAAATTATGGGGTCTGGAGCAAAGCGACCACCAATGCAAACGGTAGTCTCATACAGTCTGAGAAGTGCCTTCATGCTGTGTGTGCATGCTCTTAAAATGAAGATTGTTGAATCTTCTGTGAGTAAAGACCTGGAGAATTAGAGGCAACTTCTGTCTGTCTTGAACCACTCTCTCAACCACATATAGCTGGCTGAGGTTTGGAGAACCTTTTGTTTGTATGCCTTTGAATTTAGCAGTGATTCATACCTGCAGGAGGAGTTTGTAGGTCCACTGGTTGGGAGGTGGTTGCTGTTCACTACTGCAGATGACACCTTAATGCACACCAAGTACCTAATTGTCAGTACATTCCAGAATTGTGGCGCCCCAAAGGGGATGAAGCGGTTAAATACAGGTAGTCCTGCTTCAAAGCTGGCAGAAATGACTTGCATAAACCAAGCCTAGCAAGTGTAGGAGAGCTCACGGTGTTGACAGCTGGATTTTCTAGGTAGCGTTGAAAGCCTTGATCCTTCCAAGGACCAGGGAGTTAGATGCCAGACCTAATGGAATTATGTGCTGTCTGTCCTACACAAATAACATTGTCTAAGCAAAATGTTACTAATAAACTGTCAGATTAAATGATATGTCACTGCCCGGTTTGTTTTTTCTATGCAAGTGCTGGAAATAAAGGATGAAGTCAGTTGCACGAGGTTATGGAGACTGCAAAGTTTGGTTTAGGCTAAGAGGGAAAGGGTTATTTTGTTAAAACGATAACTTAATTTTGGAAAAAGAATACATGAATGTTTCATTTTAAAGCTGACAAGCATCTTTAGAAGCAAATCTGAGGACTGGAAGCGATTTATCCTCTTCTAAATCTGTAGTCTGGATCTTCCTCTAATATGAAGTGGTTTTACTTGTAAGAAGCATTGTTATTTTAAATGCGCCGGAAGCGTGACATGCTCCTTATCTTGCATCCTCTTCACAGTTTTGTCAGTAGCTCTTCTGCTATAAGCATTATTTGAGTTTACTCATACAGTAAATCACACGCTGAAAATGTAATTAATGGCTTCTAAATGCAAACTATTAATAGTTTAAAAGTGCTTGATGTGGCTCATACAGCTGAGTTGGTTATGCAGTACTATGAGTGAATGTCCTGTAGTTGGTGTATCTTGTAGAACTTTGCTGAATTCTGATTCCTCCCTTTTGCATAATTTATCTTGTTTTCTTTTTTCAACTTCCATGGAAAAAAGGACTTTATATTCCTTGGGGTTTCAATTCCTTTTCCTGACCATGAGGCACATGGTGTTTTCTTTAGGTGTTTGGGTTTTTTTTCCCCTGTTACAAAAACGTGAGTTTCTTCTAGGATCCCGTGTTCCTGTAGTTTGGAAACAAATCCCAAGAAACAGTGGTGTCCATTTATACCTTCTACCACCACCATGTGCTTCTTCCCATATATTTCAAGGCACTAAGTTAATATTGCTGCCTGCCCTGCAGCTAGGTCTGGAGCAGCGTTCCTGAAGGTGAGTCATGCTGCACTGTTTTTGTAGGGCTGGCTAAATTCAAGGTATTGTGGCTTATGGGAGGTTTCCTCTGCCTCAGTTCTCTTGTCATGGGGCCTATCTGAACAAGGTTGGTACAATGGTAATGATCTCTCTGGCGGTACAGAGACCAACTTGTGTTGACTCTCCAGCCCAGCCTTGCATGGAGGGAAAGGAGCTGTTTGGGCTGGCCAAGCCTGCAATGAATTATTCATCCAAGTATAAAGGGCAGATTGAAAGCCTTTGGCTTTTATGGTAGGGAAGGCAGTAGTTCCATTTCAGCTCAGTGGAGCACTATGCAACCTCCATAAAACTACTCTGAGTTTTCAGTGTTTCCGCTGCTTCTCAGAGGTACTTGCATGGGATATATCACTGAAATACTCTTTTGTTCCTCACAAAACTTTCTGTCCATGTTATCTTTCCTTTATGATTCTGTTCCTGTTTAG